AGCCTTGGACGCCGGGAGCCAGCAGTCCAGGCAGTAGCGCCGTGCGGGGGGCTGCCGCAGGGAGGAGCAGAGGCCGGCGGCGCTCGGGCAGGGCAGCCCGGGGCGCGCCCCAGCCTTGCCTGTGGCTCGGGAGCCTGGCCGGCCCGCGTCCAGCGTGGCCACATGGCTTCGCTCCGCGCGCTGCTGTGCTGTCTGCTGCTCTTATACTGTGCGCTATGTGCCACGGCAGGCAGTCAGACCCCAGGTGCGTGCGGGTCGGGCGCGAGGGGGCTCGAGGGGTCTGGGGTGCACTTCGTCATCAGGGTGGCCACCCTGGCAAAGTTCAAACCGGTGGGAGGAGATGCACTGAGCTGGGGCCGAGCTGTTATCTCTTTCCCTGTCGTTCCTTTCCCTCTCTGTCGCTGGGGGTAGAAAGAAGGGGGGGCGGGGAGATTTGGGAACTCTGGTCTCTTCTTAGGGACTGTATTATCTTTATGCTTCTCTGTGTCATGTGTGTCTTTCTCCTTCAGTGTCTACTAAGTCTCCAGCTTGGGTTTATACGTGTGGGAATGTGTGCACGTGTGCATCCCCTGGCCACACTCACAGAAGCCCGCTAGCAGGTGATTGCCTCCCATCGCAGAGCACTGGGCGCACACTCTTCTGCACAGAAACACACTCAGGTCTTTGTTCCCCCAACAGAGCATCCTCAGGGGAGAAGATACGCCCCCCCTTACCTTCCAGCATGGTATTCTCTGGTGGCTTTGAGCATGGACAGGAGGTTTTGGCCATTTCCAGGCAGGGTTCATGTGCCAAAATGGATCCCTCTTGCAGCAGTCTTGGGGTCCTCTGCTACCGTGGGTGAGACTAGAGGACGGCAGCATCCCCCTGCTGGTGCAACTGCCTTGGACCTGGGGGCTCTTCAGGACACATCGTTTTCTGTTGTATCAGCGCTGTGAATCGGATAGGTGATAGATGCTGCTGAGTGGAAATGGAAATTCCTCCCAAACTCACATTCATGAATCACCAGGCCTGGCAGCCAGGGAGCTGTCATTCCCGCCTGGCCAGGCTGGGCACAGGGAGAGTGGAGAGGATGGGGCTACTGGCATGCAGCCTGGAGCATGGGCCATGACCTCACACTTAATTCAGCCCAAGTGGGCAGGTCACCCCCGTGTCTCCTCTTATATTTGAAGGTCTATATTTATCCTGCTTGGGGCCGGGCCATACAAAAATCTCAGCAGCCACTGTGCCACTTAAAAAAGTTCTCTTTCTAACCTTGGAAAACAGAATCACATATTCCCTTCCTCTCTTCTCCAGCCCCACCTTTCCCCTTGACACAGTCCTGCCATCCCCTGGGTTTCTAGGTGTGTTTGTTTTGCCAGCTGCCTTCTTGGGAGCTTGGCGAGGAGGGCCCTGCCCCAGGCTGGGCTGGTGACTTCAGCTCATCGAGGAGTTTGGGCAGATCTGGCTTTCCCTCTTGTGCCCTAGGGGACATTAGAGAATTCAGTCTTTTCCTAGGCAGTGCTGGAGGTTGGAGGGCTTGTTGCTAGAGTGACAGAATTCTGTTTGGCATCATTTGTTTCCTTCTGCTAAACTAGAAAAGGATCTGAGGGCCACAGGGAGCGATTTATGTCTAAAAATTACCTGCACATCATTCATCCAAGTGTAGAAATCCAAGAGCTCAGGAAGTGATGAGTGGAAAATGGATGAGCTCGGGCCAAGTGGTCCATAAGAGGATATTCAAGGTTGCCCTTCCCTGCCTGCCCTGTGGGATTTCCAGTGCCCCCTTACCTCTGGACATTAGAGTGACTTTTTTGTTTCCCTCCAACAGCACCGCGCCTCTCTGGAAAACTTAGTGACTATGCTGTGACCGTGCCCTGCAGCACAGATTTCCAGGGACGCTTCCTCTCCCATGTAGTGTCTGGCCCAGCGGCTGCCTCCGCAGTGGACAGGACACCCATCCCACCGTTGCACTCCAGGCACCTCCGGGTGGCTCGCAGCCCTGCCTTGAGCCTGGACAGAGGGACTTCGCCACCTCACAGGGTGCAGCGCTACTTCCTCTACTTCAACGTGACTGTTTTTGGGAAGGAACTGCATTTGCGCCTTCGGCCCAACCTAAGGCTGGTAGTGCCCGGGGCCTCAGTGGAGTGGCAGGAGGATTTTCAGGAGCTGTTCCGGCATCCTTTGCAGCAGGAGTGTGTGTACACTGGAGGTGTCACTGGAATGCCAGGGGCAGCTGTTGCCATCAGCAACTGTGATGGATTGGTAAGGGACCTTCCTTAACTCTCACTCTTGTTGAGCTGTGAGGCCTCCCAGCTCCTGGTTCTCCTGGTTTCTCTTGATTTCCCTGGGTTTGGGATTCCTGTGGGCAAAGTGTGCAGTGGGAGCCCAGTTGGGGGCTGTGCTGTCTTGCAGAGGGCACCACCGGCCCTCCCGGCCACCAGGCTCACACCCTGTCAGGTGTGAAGTGGCTGAGCTGGGATGGTGCCTTTATTTTGTGCAACCCCTCACTGTCCAAGGACACCTGGACCGTGAGCTACTTGGCTGAGTGTGACAAACTTGGGGCTGAGGAAGGCAGAAGTTTGAATGGCTGGGTGTGAAATTGTGGCCATGTCACTTGCTAGCCATGAAGGTTTGGATAAGTTAACCTCTGTGGTTCTTCCCTCTATGCATAAAGTGGAGACTCAGCCATTTCACACACACTTGCTGTTCTGGATGCTGAGGATATGGGAGTACCCAAGGCAGATGTGGTCCCTGGCCTCCCAGAGCTTACGCACTGGTCATACTGTGTGACCCACCTCCTCAGCCAGCGCATCAGGTGGTTGGCGCATGCCTGGTGTGTGAGCCAGGTTCAGCCAGTGTTAGCTGCTGATGCTGTTACCACTGTTGCTGCCTGACATCCTTCCTCTGAGTTGTCTTTTATCTGTCTCTCCTCCCAAAGCCAGGCCACTCTTCCCTGTCTGCCCTGCCAGGTCTCTCTCCTCGGACCCTCTCTGTCCTCCCAGACCGGGGAGGCCTTGGAGGGTTGGATCCCTTGTTGCAAACCAGGCCGCTGTGTTTGGTTTCTATCTCACTGTCAGCGGGTGTTGGCTCTCGCTGCCCCTGCTGCTCTCTGCGAATGTGTCAACCTTTGTGAGCTTGCGTGGCTGCTCAGGGCCTGCTGGGAGGCTCTTCCCACAGTCTCCTTTGGCAGTGACACCAAGTTTGAGCTGATATGTCCCACAAGGGGACCTGCTTTTTTCTGTCTGTACCCTTTAGGTTTGTGGGAGTGTGACTTGGACAGGGAGGGAGCAGGAATGCTGGGAGCACTCCTCCCCATCTTCCCAGCCTTTTGGGGTATCTTCCTGTGGCATATCATGGTGGCCCATGCTTCTCAACTTTTTCAGTCTCAGCCCCCTGAGAAACCATGTTACACACAGTTTCCCTCCATCACTCCCCTATGATTATATACCCCACACTGTATCAGTGTGCCCCAACCCAGGGGTACTAATGCCCACTGCTATGCTGCGGTGTTGTGCAGATACGTTGGTTTTATATATAAAAAGAAAGATTGTTTTTAACTTCCTCCACCCAGTTTTTTTTGCCACTGCAGGCAGTAGAGCCATGGAGAGCTGTGGTCTAGGCAGTGGCTGGTCCTCAAAATGGAGCGTGCCCTAGAATCACCTAGGTACTCTCTCAGAGGGGCAGAACCTGTCTCTCCAGGGAAGGTCCTAGCATCTGCATCATCCACCAAACTTTCCAGGCGATTTGTGGTAAAGGTTCCATACCCAGACTTTGAGTCACCCAGGCTGTAGGTTCAGGGGAGAAGCCTCAGACCTTACCTGGACTCCAGGGAAAGCCCCGCTGCCAGCCTGTCCTGGCTCTGCAGTTCTCTGGCTAGAGTGATGCTGTGTCCCTAGCTTTGGTTGAAAATCCAAGTAATGTAAGAAATCATCACGGATGCAGTATCTGTACAGATGGACAGTCAGAAAATGCCGGTGCAAACCGGAAGCTCAGCTGAAAGGTGTGGTGAACTCCTTGAGCCAGCACCCAAGGGACTGTTAGCTTTTCATGCCCCATTTCCCTGGCTGCTGTCCTAAATGAGATACGGGGGAGACTCTAAATCACTATATGCTGGGGGTCTCAAAGAAGGCATGCGTGGGTGACCATCACCATTAAAACTCCCTTGTTTTGAACTGGCTCAGCAGTCTGCTGACAAGTGATTGACTGCTACCTGTAGCGGCTGCAGGGACCAGGTGGTTTCCATAAAGAACCCTGAGCAGGGGCTCATGAGCCATGACCCTGTGGCTGCGTTGTGCAGTGTACTAGGTGACAAGCTGTGCTCTGGTCGCTGGGGCTGGCGTTGGTGGAGGTAGGGCTGTTTGGGGGCCCTGCGGCCTGGCCTGTCTAGGATGATATTGCTGACTTTTGGTGGCCTCTGAGTACATGTGCTCATGAGCTGTGTGACCTGGGCTTTAGTCTTCTCATGGATCCTGGGGCTGCATTTGCAGGTTCTTGGCAGATGGAAGTAGACTCTGGATGGCATATGCCAAAGCCAGGTCAGGTCTCCGCAGGCTTCTGTGAATGGTTCTCCAGAGTGTCATTCTGTATCCTGCACAGACGAGGCTCATGGAGAAGCTGCTTGCTCCCCAGTTCTTGGCTAGGGACAAAAGTGGACTTCACTGCAGTAAACCTCAGGCTGAACCACTAGTCAGCACCAGGGTGCTGCTTGGGCCCTCAGCTGTCTTCTCCTGAGGCCAGTCCTGAAGTCCAGTGTCCGGATGCCCACCCCCTCTAGGCCAGGGTGGCACTCCCTGGCTCTCTGTCCCCTGGGACACTCAGCACACTGCCTGAGGCCTGCCCAGAGGCCTCCCCTGGTAGGATTTCTTCACTCCTAGCCCAGCCAGGAAGTGCCCTGAGTCCCGAAAGGGCAAGGGACCATTGCATGCCACCCAGCGGAGCTCACCTTTGGACTCAGGAGCCACGCTGCGGCATTTCTGGTGATAAGGCTTAACTCTGTACTTTTCTCCCTAGATTTTAATCCCATTTTTTTCAAGTATCTCAGATACCAAGGTCATTCACTCCAAAGTGGCTAAAATAGTACGTACTGACCACTGGCCACGGGCAAGGTCCACCTGGTAAATCATAGGAAAATGACACCAATAAGAGAAGGTGTCCAGGTGTCTAACATCCCAGTCTCAGATGGGAATTAACTGCAGTGTCCCAGGTGCCCAGACAGCTGCTGTATGGATGGCAGAAGGAGTGGAAGGTGTCAGGGTCACTCTCCCCATTGTAGGTTCCAGCTGCAAATGAGTACTGCGTGGCCCCTTTAGACACCACACTTCTGGCCAGAGTCAGGGATAGGCAAAAGGGCTACAAGTCTGTCCACATGGGTGGGGGTGAGGGGCTGAGACGAGGAGGGTTGGGATCTTCAGACCCTTTTATAACTGAAGGTGTGTTGTGCTAGGAGGAAGGTGCTAAGTGACTCGTCCAGCTCTTCTATGACCTTGTTTCCCAGCCCAGCCCAGCCCAGTCCTGGCATGCAGCTAGGGCCTGGTACCAACCAGGGAAGGAGGAGTCAATCATAGGTTTACAGGGCCGGGTTTCAGAAATAAGTTTTGACTCAAAAATCAGCTCCAGTGTTGACAGGGTTCCTTGGAGGAGGTGGCGCTGGCTCAAGACTGTTCAGCATCATAAGCAGGAATGCAAGTGCTGGGCCTCTGGCCAGCAGATAGCATGACTGTCACGGCGGGTCTGGAGGATGTTTGGGGCAGGAAATGAGGGGTGTAGAGGCTCCGTCCAGCCTGCAGAGTGTTTCCTCTGGGGCTGGGAGCAGCTGGCTTGGGACTGTCACCCTCAAGGGTCTCAGACTGGGATTGTGTCCGGGCTGCAGCACTGACCTCTCCATGGGCCACTCTTCAAAGCCACTAATGCTCTGCACCTGGGAGGAATCTGGGTGGAGGCCTGGGGTGGTGCCAGTTCTTCATGAATATGGAGGGATTGTGGGTCAGCAGGAGGGTCAGCAGAGTGGGGTCCCCACTTCTCAGTGGGGTTGAGCGCTCACTGCATCCGTGCAGAGCCCGGGCCACAGCCTCCCATAGGGCTTTCTCTTCCAGGAGTTGAAGGCCAGTCGTCTCTGCCTTTCTGGGTTCTGGGCCTCAGTGTCCTTCCTGGGACATCTGGTGCTGGGCTGAGGGGGACTTGGGTGCGCTGCACTCTCCCTTTGCCTCAGTGCCTCTGTGAGTCAGGGCCTGGTGTGGAAGCGGCCACACATGTAAGATCTGTCACATCTGGTTCCGTTTTCCACCCTGCAGATCCTGCATTTTTGACGGGGTGCTTTGAATAGACCCTGGCAGGCAGCAGGAAGAGGACAGGGAAGGCAAACTCCGGCCCTACCTCTGACCACTGACCAAGTCCCAGGAGCCCTCTGAGCTGCAGTTCTTTCATCTTGAAAGTGGGACTGCATTGGAACAGGGAGGGTCTGAGGGTGACGGCCAAGGGGTAAGGGCTCTAAAGCTGGTCAGGGTGGTAGCTGCACAACATGCATGTACTAGAAACCCGCGTACTACACACTGTGATGAGTTGGAGCGCTTGCGAACTGTATCTCAGTGAAGCTGTTATGTACGTGCCAGGGCAGGGCCCAGACAAGCATTGCTGGTAGTTGTTAGGCCTCTAGGGTATGGAAGGTGTGGGGCTCCTCAACACTGGTGCAGACCGGATGAGTGACCCTGAGTAAGTTTCTTTCTTTTTTTTTTTTTTTTGGTTTTTGGTTTTTTTTTCTGGTACCAGGAATCGAACTCACAACCTTGCAGTTGCCAGGCAGGCGCTGTGCCACTGAGCTAAATCCCCAGCCCCCTGAGTAAGTTTCTAAATGTCCCTGGGCTTAGGTTTGTCATCTAGGAGGGGATAGGAGTAATCATCCATAGGGGGGTTCAGAGGGTTTAATGAGATCCTGTAAAGCATCTGGTTTTATGGTGGGTCCTTGCATAATGGGGATTGTTTCAGAAATCATGAATGGTTACATTTATTACTTAGTTATTGCCATAGTAATGATTAATAATGATAAGTACTGTAATATGGTTAGAGTCCCTTATGCTGCAGGGATACGTAGACTGTCAGTGTGATCTGACACAAGTCTGAGTCCTGGAGCCACCACTGCTTCCGAGGTTGGCCCAGCCTCCTTTCCTCAACCCGTCTCCACGGCAGCAGTGTCCCATGCGGAGCTGGCCAAGTGGTGCTTCCTCCGGGTGTGCAGTTTGCACATGAGCACTGCTCTGTAATAACCC